TGTGACAATTTTGTTATAGTTATGATTAGCAGGGTAATAACTATAGGCTTTTAATGAAAACGATAAAAAATTCCCAACATCACTCTTCGGCCAGCCGGACGGGTTCTCACTTTTGACAGGCACCAAATTTGCAGTGCGATTGATAGAGTTACCATTAACGCTTTAACATGATAGAGAAATTGTTATGTTTAGGTTTTATTTCCCTTTATTTACGAAACTGTGTATGGTTTTGTTATCTGTACTCTTTAAAAGCGAGTGATATTTACGCGCGGCGTTTTGAGTATTTCTGCATGCGATGTTTATGTTCGACTGGAAACAACCGGTGCAGCGATAAAAATTGCGAGAGGGACTACTAACAATCAATAAAATAAATATAATTCGGTGAAACATGTACAGAGACAATAATTTTCATTCACGAAGAGAAGTATTGAGAGTAAAGTGTCTCTGAAAATCATGAGTCAGGTAAGCATAAACTTGTTTATGTTTTAAGCTGGCTTCCCGGTGTTTGCTCTTTTTCAAGATGAACTCGAGGCAAGAAAATCGCTCAGAGCTTTCTGTTTACAGCCAAAATCGTAACTAAATAATTTCTTCGGAACCTCTTCTTTGAATTTGCGGTCAAAAAATGTCTAAAGGCTCTTTAAATCTGATACTATTGTAGGTTATTACTATTGTATTGCAGGAAACATTAACATTAACATTATATGACATAGACATTGGCATATACTAATTAGCATAAATTCGTGCACCGTAACACCAAGTAATAACCAGAAAATCGCTCAGAGCTTTCTGTTTACAGCCAAAATCATAACTAAATAATCTTCGGAACCTTTTCTTTGAATTTGCGGTCAAAAAATGTCTAAAGGCTCTTTAAATCTGATACTGTTGTAGGTTAGATCATTGCTCGTGTATAAACTTAAGCCGCGTAAACCATACGCTCGACTTCAGGAAACCGAAAAAAAAAAAACACATCGAAGACAATAATTGCTCAGGCTTACCAGTCGAGATACTGCCTCTGAAAGTCATCAAGTGTTCCAGAATCGCTTGAGACTTTTCAATCCTCTTATGCCTCAAGCAAGGGCAAGTGAGTAAGCTGTTTTGAAAACGATACCATCCGAAATCGGATTTCCAATGACTTTGACAAGTGGTGCATTTGTTAACAAAAAGCGCAATAAACAAACCAGCCATGAATTACAGAACAATCTTGAGAGCAGCTGTATTTCATTTTGTACACCAAGTAGAAAAAGACAGTTTAAGACATCACAAGATGACACAAAACTCTATCGGCTCCAGCTATCAATAAGCAAGTTACCAGACGCTGCATAAATTTTCCGCATGAACTCACCTGTCAAATTTTGACCAATCAGAACATAAAAATTGGACGTAGAGCGTGATCAACGCGTGACAGTGACAAAAGTCAAAAGCGATTGCCTTCCCTGCATGTAAATGTAAAAGCCTGTTGAATTTTCGCGTCCGAGGTCAGTTCAAATCAACATTTTACAAGTGCGGCTCTTGAGCAAGACTTATTTCTTATGCATTTAAAAAAAAATTGAACTTGAGCCTTCGATCATTTGAAAAGTAGCAACTTGTCAGCCGATACCTTCAAAAAAAGACTCGAACTCAGTGGGTCGATACCTGAGCCCGCGATACGGTCAGGCGATACTGGTCAGCAGAAACACTATTTTGACAGCTGTCAATTAATCAAAACATGGATGTACAATATCAGGTTGCAGGCTCCCAAACTATCTAGAAAGTGTGAGATGAAACATTGGTATACCTGTGGTACAGACGAACGGAAGGTCGGCTGGTCGGTGTACGGTCACGTGATTGCCGAATTTTCTAGGATGGATAGATTTTCTAAGCTATGGGGCTTCCAATTGAGCCCGTGATCAAATAAAATATCAGCGCAAAACTTTAAACACTACGTGACCTTGATGGATAGAAAAATGAGCCCGCGATACACTCAGGTAATGATGGTCAGCGTATACTCTAGTTTGACAGCTGTCAATTAACCTTCATTAGAATGGCAAATATTCGAATTAACAGACTACGAGTGTGAGTAAGACATATCCGTCCGGCATGTATTGGAAAATGCTAGATCGTGTACCTGAGCGAACCTGAGCCCACGTTATTAGTTTTCTGATTAGTGGTCTGCGCATGTCCCATTTTGACAGCTGTCAATTGACCTTAATTTGGCTTGCCAATATAACTTTAAACGACTGTCAGCCAACTGACAGCCTTGCCCGGCGTAGTTTCGTTTTTATGTTGAATTGGTAAGTGTGACATGGGCAAAACGACTGGTCTTTCATCTGAGCCCGCGAGATGGTCATGTGATAATTGTCAGCGGATGTCTGATTTTGATAGCTGTTAATCTAATCGTACTCATACGGATGGCTTACATAACTAAGAGGCTAGTCAAGTTGTGCAAGATCTATTGTGACATTTGACATCGGCTTACATGACGTGCGTGTACTGGTGGGCGGGCGGGCGGGCGTACGCTACGTCATAAGCAAATTTTCTCGGATGGATAGTTTACGAAATTTTCTTGCCCATGGTGCTCCGCTGCGCGCGCGAGAGAGAGCTCCGCTATTAATAATAATATTAATAATCATAATATTAATAATCATAATGACAATAATAATTTTTAACAGAAACTCATAAGGGGTTGAAACGTGTAACTCGCGTTCAATGCTCGTGAATATTCACTTTTACCATATTTGGAAACCTTAGTGTCAGATATCCATTTTCAACAAAATGGCTGCCGCGCGATCACCATGCAGATGTTTTAAGACAAGAGTTCAGCATTTCAAGGTTAAAAATACACCGTTAAAAGACAAAAAATGGAAAGAGAAAGTTCAAAAGAATGCTCAGCTTCCTTTTTGTGGAGGAAGGGAAGCTTTTCATCAAGAAATCGTCTTTCGAGGAATTCAACCTTGTTTTGTTCACGACGGAGCCCAAGGTCTGTGTTTGAAAAGGGAATTTATGTCTTTTTAATTGTTTCATAGACGTCTTACAAATTTTTCTCTTCGGCGCTAAAGAAAAATTACAAAATGTGCCCCGATTTGAGATGGATTTTGTGTTGAATTTTGCCATGTGCTCAGCCGATTTCACTTGCGTGAACGGATCCACGATCCAGAAAGTGTTTTCCGAATTGCTTTAATTGGATTTTGAATAAAAATTTTCAAGAAACGGCTTCTCTGTCTTTTTTTTTTTTGAGTTTGTTCATTCAGAAAATTAGCTCAAAACATGATCGTGACTACAACACGCAAGCTGAATTTAAGCTTAAATGCTTCTCACATTCATTACGCGCATCACTTTTTGCGAAGATGTCAGGTTCAGTTTTTGGACACTTTTGGATACGCAGCTAATGAATTTTATTCGCAAATATTTTTTACTGTTTATTCTAGACTTTTGATATAAAAATTATAAAAGCCTATTTGCAGTACAGTTTACTGTGCAGAGGGTCAACGAGGCATCGTTTTTTGAAGTGACAAGTTCTGCAAGTTCAAGAAATTGTGAGGACGTAAATGGGTTTCATAATGTTATGTTTGGCCCGGGTGGTAAGGCAATAATATCCTGCTCAGTGTTTGGTAAGATTCCTGGTTTCAACCTTTGAAAGCTTTCTCGGGTTTCGGGAGTATTTTCCCCCGTTTGTCGGCCATTATTTAAGCGGGCGCGGGAACCTAAAGTGAAATTACGTCACGTTGTTTACAAAGTTTGATTGGTCAGTCATCTCTTCTTCTCGTTCCAAATATGGTACTTTTGAAAATGAATAATCACGAGCATCGGACAAAGCAAACATAAGAGAGTTACAAGTTTCAATCCCTTATGAGTTTCTGTTTTTAATTAATAATAATTTTATTTAACTTTATTTAAATATGTACATAATTTACAAAAAAATATTTGAAGTAAGAATTTAGCACCATCCAACACTAAGAATTATATAAATCATGAAAATACAATCACTGTGCCGATAACGATTTCCCAAATACATCGCCTTGCGGCTTAGATGCGATCAATAACTCTTGCAGTTAGTCCAGAGTTTTGAATTAAGTTATTACAAAGAGAATTATCCGTCTTTCATTTAAAAAAGAAACAAGTTAAAAAGAATAAAATCTCGTATTCCTAAATTCCTAATTCTTTAAAAAGTTCCTGAAAGAGATTAATTCGGGCAGGCTCTAATATTTTCGATCTGTAGATCTGAGTCAGCAAAGTCTAGCTGTCGTTTTCTGGATCCTGAGCCTCTCAAGCATAGTATCGCAGAGCGTGCGATGGCGAAAGATACTTTAGCTCTTATCCAGGAAATTGCGCTTCAGTAACTTTCTCCCTTCTTATTTGCGATCAGCTCCGCAAGTCTGCTTTGGTACTTAACACACTCATCCGCCATTCCACCTGTGATCGTGAAAACTAGGGGAGTGAACGTTCCCTGTTCGATCTCCATTACTCTTTCCGCATACTGCCTCTTCTTCTCGTCCTCATACTTCTTGTAGATCTGCTTAGGATGGGCGTGTCCGTTTTTTCCCAGTTGAACCGTAACTTGATTGCATCGCTAAATTCCTTCTTATTCAGATTGTAATCCAGTTGTTTGAGGGGAATCACGGTCAGCCAATTTGATGATCCCTTCTCTGGAGCTAACTCAACAGCTCGCTTAGCTTTTGTCGGCAGGGAGTTGTTCACCTGCTCCAGTCTCTCACTTAGACAGTCGTCTTTTTGTTTTCGTGTGCTCAGTTGCAGTGTTCGAATTTCTGAGGTATCTGGAGGCTGGTGCTCTTGCTAAACAATTCGCCTCACGAGCGGATTGGTTACTTTGACAGTAAATTATTATAATAATATTAATGATAATGATAATGATACAGTGATACAAAATATACGTGATAAATAAGAAAAGATACAGCACTTGTCATTTTCTGAACTTATCCACCGCCAAATGCCAGTAGTTTTAGTTCGAACAATGCCGCTTGACGTTTGTGTATCTGTGTTTTGTTCTGTTCTGTTTTTAGAACATGAATGCCTCTGGATTCAGAGTCTGCGTCAAAGAGTTGTTTGGAACCAGATATGATCCCTTGTCAGTGAGTTATGCAGTGCTTACAGGTAAGCAAATACTGAAAATTTGTTCTAAACTGATAGTTATTTCGATTAAACATATAAAAAGTCGTATTTTCGTAGGCTCTGTGCACATGTGCACGTTTCTCCCGTTTTCGCGTTAACAAATACATTGAAAGCGGATTTTATACCAGCTGACGTAAAATTCCGAACATAAAAAGGCCCCGTCACTTATAAGCCCTTCGAATAAGCCCGCAAATTTGTGTCCCAAAGAGGCCTTTTGTAAGACCCCACCCCGTATATGAGCCCCCTGGAGACTGGGGGAGGGTTTTTATTTGGGAACCACTCTCACAAAGGGCAAATCGTTCCATATCGGAACCCCAAAAGACAAACTCGGACATGAATCTTCGGATTTCTATGAATAAATTTTGAACTTCCGTATTTTTTAAGGGTGATCAAGAGCCATTATTGCTTTCGGGGTGATACATAGGATCGGAATGAAGGTGTTCACAAACAATCACCCAGACGTAGTTAATCGATAGTAATATTATTGATATCAATCAAAGATAAATATCGATTTCCGATATCGATTGATAGAAATCGATAAAGAAAAACAGTTTTGTCTTCGATTAATATCGAAGATTATCCGATAGAAATCGATGATTATATTTTAATCGATTGTTATCGATTACTATCGATTTCTATCGATTGTTATCAATTATGTTAATCGATAATAGAAGATAAATTATTTTTTCGGTGACTTCGATTTCTATCGATTTCCGATATCAAGCGATATTCATAGGCGGGTTAAATCGATTAACATCGAAGATATCGATTGATTTTCGATATCGATTTTTATCGATTAACTACGTCTGGAATTACGTATGCAATGTGTACGGGGTCTAACAAAATGCTCGTTTGTACCTGACGAAGCCCAGGACATAAGGATCCACGAACGCGAAAGTGATTTTAGGGTTTTTGATATTTTTATCACATATAGATATCTGTGATCCTGGCTGGAGCTACTTTAATAGCTTTTGCTATGCAGTCAGCAAGAAGTGCTCAAATTGGACCGAAGCTCTGGCTAATTGCCGGCAGGAAAACGCAAGTCTCGTCAGCGTCAATAGTAATGAGGAAAACGTATTTATACAACGTCTTTACAATGGAGCAAAGTCCTGGCTGGGATTAAATGATATTTCCAGGGAAGGAACGTTCACCTGGGCAGGAGGCCGGCCAGGAAACTTTACAGTTTGGGCCAAAAACCAACCAAATAATGTTGGAGATGAAGACTGTGCGCATACACTTGGCATTGGACACAACTACAAGTGGAATGACGTGAAGTGCAGTGACTGTCATCAGTATACTTGCAAAAAAGGTCAATGAAAATTATATAAACAACCAAGAAGTCTTTCTATAAGTAGGTTATATAATCCGGGTGAGTTGAGTCCCGTTTAAGACTGTTGGCGGTGAGAGTGATTGCTGTTTCAACGACCTCGTGCATGCTGAAGAACTTAACCATCACCCGCCAACAAGTCGGTCGTTTGCCTGTTTGTAACCTGTAAGTCGTTTTTCGTCGATTTTTTCACTTCGCTCTGCTCTCCACTAACTAAACGCCTGGAGTAGGCTAGCCTGTTCCGCGCTTTACGCTCGCTCTCGCTTTCACCAAATCAGAGTAGAAAAACATCTGCGAACAGGCTAGGAACAGGTACCAATTCTGTATCTTTGACTCGGTTGTAGACCCTAGAAACATAAAAGTCCGTCTATTAAGAACTAGGCTGTGCTGTTTTTTTGAACTTCGTCTTCCTGTCTCGAAATCAGATAACACACCCACCGCTACCATTCTTTCCCTGTTTTCCTGCATGATTTTAGCTCCCTTGAAGCGTTTGCCATGGTTACCCTGGTAATAAGAATAGCTTTACACCTTATTTTTTCTTGTTTATATTTTTTGTTTTCTTGTTTGTGTTTTAACAGACCAGAATGAGTGCAGTGGCAACACGTTCTGTCATCCAAAGGCTAGTAATTGTACAAATCTCTGGGGTTCGTTTAAGTGCACCTGTAACCTTGGCTACATAGGAAATGGATTAAACTGTATATTAGGCGGACGAGGTACATGAGAGACATTTTAATAACATAAGAGACTAATTACATTTTGACATGAAAACTAATAGGAATGAAACGTTTCTGAAAAATGTTTCTAACCTGTCCAAATTATATGTCTTCGATAAGGCAGGGTTTTCAGGCACGTATTCTTCTGTTTTCAAGTCTTGCTAGATCGCTTAGGTACATCAATTTGACAGATTTTGAGTTGTTGCCGATCTGTTATAAATCTGTGTTTGTCGTTAACATATACAAATTTTTATATACAAATATTTTATTTTTGTGTATTTTTTATATAAAAATATTTGTATATAATATGTTATATACAAATCAAGGGATTGCGTCTAAAGAGGTGTGCGTCTCGAGGGGATTCATGGTATCAAGGCTATCCGCGTTGCACCAACCGGCTGTAACTGGGATACACAATTATTTTGACTCAATAAATTTCTTACTGTGAACTATTTTTAAACTAACGGCTAAAATTTCCTCTTTTACATCAGAAGACCAAAAGTTTGGGCTGTTTTAAGGCTAGTCGTTAACCCCATAGAAACTCTCTTTGAAGTCACTACCGGGAGTCCGAGGATGGGCGAAGCGTTATTACGCTCTTTTACGCCCCTTTAAAGGAGCTGTGTCACAAAATTCAGCCAAATAAGAAATTACAAAATGCCCGTTAAATTAAGAGAAACATGAAAATAACCGCTTAAAACTTTAAAGGAAGGTTAAAATAACATAACAGAAACAACAGATGCCACGGATGGGCAAAACTGAAGCAAGATTGAAACGGATTGAAATTAGGGTTTTTGAAAACTGTGCAGCCTAACAGTTTTTCAAAGTTGATCCCTGCTGCTTGCAACTTCAAAAATAATCCTCAGGAGACATATTTGTTTGTCACGGATCTCTGATTTTGTCATTTACATGTAATTTCTTTGTTTACTTTTAAGTTCCATAGCGATTGAGGGCGAGTAACTGGCAAAATTAAACAAAATGAACTGGACCGCCGTGACACAGCCCCTTTAAACAATCAAAGTTTTCGTGCAGCACCGTATTTGTCTTGCACAAAATGTGTTGGGTTATTCTGACACCATAGTTATTGCTGCAATCGACCTTCCTCTCAGGTTTACAAGACTCTGCTATTGTGGTAAGCAACATAAACCACTTGATCTTGTTAAAAAAAATGGCTTAAACCTGTGGCAAAAGCATCAATCGCGTGGTTCTGTCAGGCGAAACTTAAAATGTCAACTACCCAATTTTAAAGCCAAATGAAAGCTATTGTCATTGTGTATGTTGAGCTACCGAAATTTTCAACTTAAGACATGCGTCAGTATACTGGAGTTTTGATCAGTCTAAAACGTAACGTTTTATATTCCTTTTTAGAAAATCTAATAAACATGCAAGTTAACGTTTTACATTTTGCAATATGGTTATCTCTTTGCAAATAGCTCATTGAACTGGAAATAAATTCAGTTTCTGTGAAATTACAAATACTCTGTACCTCATATAATGAAAAATGGTCTTATTTTTTTCCTTAGGTTTGGAAAAGTCCGTCATTTTGAGATACGACAAAACTGATCACTTGACCTCGTTGAGGAACTGGCTTGCACCTGTCACAAAAAGCGTCAAATCTCTCTGGAAGCGCTGTTGGCGTGCAACCAGCAACGGCTTTGATTCATATACATTTCACTCCCGATGTGACGGCAAGGGCCCGACAGTGACAATAATAAGGGTTGGGAGATATATTTTTGGAGGATACACCAGTCTATCATGGGGTAAGTGAGCATTATAAATAGAGATATTACGATAACACTTTTTCCGTTACCAGCTCAAGGGCAGTTACATGTAAATGTACTGGTGAGCAATATGGTGGACCATATGGAGTGACTGAGTCTGTTGATCCTGCAAAGAAGGCGTGCTTTTAGCCAGCAAAACAGGTTTAAATTTCATGTTGTCATCGACTATTGAATCTTTGGAAAATGAGGTAACATGGAACTTGTTGTAGCCTCCAGGCACGCTGCATCTGCTACCTTACAAAACATCGTTATAAAAATTGTGTTGAAAAACTTTTAAAAAATATGTATTATTTTCGTGCACTGTACTTACTATATGTCTTTTCATCGGCTAAGAGCCTACAGTTCATTTTGGAAATCAGCTTAAAATACAGACAAGACCCCCATAGTAGGGATTCATTGGGCTGCCGACTGCGCGGTCTACAGTCTACGTGAAAACGCATTATATTTTTCCACACGATAAAAATATTCAGTTTTAAGATTTTTGTTTTGGTATTTTTCTTCAACTTAAAGGAATAAAATGTTTTGCATTTTGACCCAAAAAAGTTTGATTTCATCGGCACGCACTTTAAACAATGTGAAAAGATGAAACGATCGATATCACGTATTTTACCGTGATACTAATATGAGTTGAAAATTCGCCCGAGTTCGCCGTTTGTCTCACCCGTGACTAACTTTTCTTCATGGCAGAAAATTATGCCGCTTTATAATTCCTCCGAATCTTTGTGCCAGCCAAACAATATCGAAACATTATTCACAGTCCCTGGATATTAAAAAGACTGAACGAAACGCAGTGTAAACGCACTATGTGCCCTTCTGATCACATGTGCACGAACTCTCTTTTCAAGCGATTCATCTCAATGCACGATATTATATATTATACTGTAATATACCATATATTATACCACATGTTATATACTGTACGACAGAGCTGAACAACGTCTGCGCATGTGCAGAGACGTGAGAGGTCTGGGATCGAAACTAGTATCGTTTGCAAAAGGATTTTCAAAACATCCCTACATTTTGGCGATTTTTAAGGTGGATTCTAAATATTTAAGGTTCCCATTTAAAGTAAAGGTAGGTTATTTCATACTTTATTCAATTCTCGTTTCTACCTTTGTTCTACTTTTTTCTATGAACAAAAGAAGACGCACGAACGAAGCGTCCCTGCAACAATAGTATCGTTTACAAAAGGATTTTCAAAACATCCTCACACTTTCCCGATTTTTAAGGTGGTTTCCGAATATTCAGAGCTCCTATTTAAACTTAAGGTGGATTATTTTATACTTTCTTTAATTCTCGTTTCTCCCGTTGTAATTTTTCTTCTACTTTTTTCTATGAACAAATGAAGACGCACGAATGAAGCGTCCCTGCCATAAATAGTATCGTTTGCAAAAGGATTTTCAAAACATCTTAACATTTTGCCGATTTTTAAGGTGGTTTCCTAATATTCAGGGCTCCCATTTAAACTTAAGGTAGATTATTTCATACTTTGTTTACTTCTCGTTTCTACCTTTATAATTCTTCTTCTATTTTTTTCTATGAACAAAAGAAGACGCACGAACGAAGCGTCCCTGCTATAAATAGTATCGTTTGCAAAAGGATTTCAAAACATCTTAACATTTTGCCGATTTTTAAGGTGGTTTCCGAATAATTAAGGTTCCCATCTAAACCAATGCTAGATTATTTCATATTTTATTCAATTCTCGTTTCCTTCTCCGTAATTTTTCGTCCGTTTTTTGCTATGAACAAAAGAAGATGCACGGACGAAGCCGAGAACAGTTCTTTCATTCGAATGTGTACATGTTCACTGTTCAAGCGTAAACAGAAATGAAAGACAGACTATCAACATGTTATCAGTTCTAAGAAATCGTCCGAAAATCTCATATCAGTGTCAGCATTAACGGTACATTTTTATATTTATCTTTATTTTTCCTTGAATGGTAGTCTTTTAGTTTTTTTCTCGTTACGTCTCGCTAGGTTTCACTATAAGAACTGTAAGAACACAAAACAATCACTTAGGTTTCGAAATCTCTTCTTTCTTCCAAACTTGTTTTCCTTTATTACTCATCCTTAGCTCAGCTCGCAAGAGCTATTATAAATTTTTGTATATGTCAACAGGCGAAATTAATGTTGAAAAGAGTAAATGGGTAAGTAATACAGTCGATGCCTGCTGGTAAAAAATATCAGTGACTTGAAATTCTCTAAAAAGCTTCATTACACGGAGAAGCACAATCTCACTCTTTATAAACTTTCGTTTATTTTTCTCTTTGAAGTCTACATCTTCATTCCTTGATCTCGGCTTCTGCTTCATTCAAACCTGTCATAAATTGAAAACTTATAGTTAATACGAAAACTCACATAGAGCCGAGCCAACTTGTGATTGTTTCTCAAAACTTCAGCAGCTTTAAGCTTTAAAAGTTTATTCATATAAGCTTATAGGTGCAAATCAAATTTTTAACAAGCTTAACCGAATAAATACTGATTCTACAGCTCGACCAGCACCTCTAAGCCGGATAAAGCTTTATGTAAGAAAAAGCTTCTTTGATCGCACTAAGATTTGTAACTAAGTTTATGACTTTCATGACTTCTTCTGTCTGATGGTATCATCGCGCTCAAAGCCGGCTTCGATTTTCTTGCCACCAAGAAACGGTCAACAACTGTTATCGCTTAGTCTGATCGCTCGGCTATACATTACAAAGATTTGCTCCTCCTTAACCACAATAAAGAGGTTGTTTAAGTAAATCGCTTACTTACCATCGAAGAAAAGTCGCCCAAACTCCAGCAAATTGCTCTTTCTACAAACTTACTGACGATCAAAAGAGTGAAAAACCTCGCCGGCACGGTCAAAAACATTTTTCTTGATCCCTGGTTTACGTAACATTTCTTTCCACGAGTTGTATTTCTAACGTATTTGTAGAATTTCTCCTTCGTTGGCATTCACAAATATGAGTTTAACAGATGATCGAAGATGGTCTCAGATGCATGAATCTCACTTCACACGAGTGTTTTGCGCACGGGATATTCTTGGTAAACAAGTGATGTCACGGACATGCGTTGTACGTTATTCAGCTCTGTCATACTGTACAATATTATACTGTTTTTGCCCCTCACATTTACAGTGTTCGTTCGTCGTGTTCAAAACACTTTTAGGAAAATACGGGTCATGTAAGTCATGTGTATCATTCGAAATAAATCGATTATAGGCTTTTTTAAGTTCCCATTTGGCGGTAACGCGAGCTGTGAACATTCAAAGGTTTATTGAACCTCGCTAATGCTGACATCAATATAACGTGCTTGCTGAATCCTGAATGGGCGAGCACACTGAATTGAGGAGAAGCATAACAAATGATAACAAGATCATGCACATGTTTAATGATGAAAGCTTAGCAAGATACAGATACAAACAAAAGCAAAACCTCTCGGCTACATTGAAAACAATTGTAAGCTCTACTTAGTCACCAAAGAGGGTCGTGAAGGGGTAAAATGAGAACTGGGATTAGCCTTATTGTGGACTGGGAAAATGGGATTTACTCACTGGGACTGGGATTTAGCCACTGGGAATGGTATGAACAATAATAAAATGGGAATGGGATTTCTTTTCTTCAGCGGTCTTTGCTCCAATATTTTGAAATAGAAAAATAAAATTTCGTAGCAATAGACCTTGCACTCCTTAGTAGAGACCGTGAAATCAGTATTTTTCGCCTTCGCCCCCGCGGTCTAGCTACCAGGCTTACACGGTTGCATAGTTACGTGTATCCAAATAGCGTCAATCAGTTCTTTTAATTTATCATGCGCATGATTTTGCAAATAATCATTAGTAATTGGATTTTAGATTTGGTAACTGGGATTTTGGCAAAAATTAGCCTGGGAACTGGGATTTGGTACCCCCCTTCACGACCCTCACCAAACCTTGTCGGTAATAGCTGCTATGTTCCTCAAGTTGGTCTTTGTGAAGCTCCCGGCTGTCCCGCTGAAGCTTTGAACTTGTGTGCGAAATTCTCAAAGTTTCTTGTTTTGTCCGCGTCTTCTTTATCCTTATCCGAAATTTAGACCTCCAAAGTGGCGTGTGTTGCATTAAATAGAAGGAAATATTAAAATGAAAAACCAGTGTTCTTACATGGCGAAGTTGTCACTTTCCTCGCTCATGGACGTCCATTTCTTAACATGACGATTTATCTTACATTCATCAGCAACTGAGTTGTTCGCTTCAGTACAACAGCTTACAAACAAGTCTTTAGCCATAGTGTCATCAACAACAGCAACACACTTTATTAAGAAACAGATAGTTAAAATTTGAACAGTACCTACCCACAAATAGTTAAAAAAAAAAAAAATAGTCGAGGCGGGTAGGTATGATTAAGTTCCCGTACAAAATTTTCACGAGATTCTCGGCAGGATTTTGGCCGCCGAGATTTTTGGATCTCGGCGAGATCTCGCCGAGATCCGTAAATCTCGGCGGCCAAAATCCTGCCGAGATCTCTAGGAATCTCGGCGGCCAAAATCCTGCCTAGATCTCTAGGAATCTCGGCGGCCAAAATCCTGCCGAGATTTAGAAATCTCGGCGGCCAAAATCCTGCCGAGATCTCGAATCTCGGCGGCTAAAATCCTGCCGAGATCTCTAGAAATCTCGGCGGCCAAAATCCTGACGAGATCTCGCCGAGATTCCTAAATCTCGGCGGCCAATTTCGCTAATCCAATTAAGAAAGCAAACTGCACGAAAAAATGCCTCAAAATCATCAGAAAATTCTCAAAAGTGGCGCCTAAACTAGACCTGAAAACATGTTTTAGTTAAAGATTAATAGCTATTTTGTCAAGTTATGCAATAAAACTTGTGGCACAACGCGATTCAGAACTGAAGGTTTCAACTCAAATTTAGGCAAATGTTCAATTTGCGTTGCGTGACGATACCGGCTGCTGTCACAACAAAATCCTCAGTTATAATAGGCTTATTACAACTAAGTTTTTTTAGCGCTATACATATTTGTACTTACAAGGATTTATAATTAGCAGCAGTAAAAGATTACAATAAATAGTAAATTAAAAGAATTATAGCTGCAGCAATGAAGAATTGCAAATAAAAGAAGCAGAACAAAATTACTACACAGAGGAAAGAGAGAAAGAAAGAAATTTCACCATACTGGTCGAAGTTACGTGATTGCTACAGTCACAAGTTTTATTTTTTATCATGTCGTCAATTGGTATCATACTTTGCTCATAAATTGTGCTCTGGCTAAAAGCGAAGCTTTCGATATTATTTACAGTTTATTCAACAAAATATAAAATCGTTTAATGCTAAGCGACGAAGGCAACGTCGGAGAATGGTGAAAAAACAAAAATTGGTCGAATTAGCAAAAAAGCAACTTTGCAAGTGCAGCACACCATATTCAGTTTGTCATTTCTAATTCCGTTAGTTTGCACAACTACAACGGGAAACTTCCAGAAACTTTCTAGTTACACGTTTTTGAGCGCGTTATAGCTCATATGTCAGCGATTTGAGCGTATGTATTCCGTGGCTTTGTGGCTTTGTGTTTTCGGATTTCTGTTGTCAGGAGCTAATAAGGTTGAAATTACTATGAGTTGATGCGGAGGAACCAATGAGATTTTTCCCTCTAACATGACATTCACTCGGCTTAAGGTCAAACAAGGGCACTTTGAGACCGCCATCTTGATTCTTTTCGTCTTTTATTACGGCTAAAGGTGTTTGGAAGCATGACACTGAGATATCTTTATGAATCAAACGCTGAGTGCTGCGATGGAGCTGTTTAAGGGTCCATATTTTAGTGTGGGTTCTGCTTCAAGACATTTCTGACCTAATTCGGCTATCGCGAACGGTACAACGCACGTATTTCATAATTTATGAGTTCTGTTTCACCTTCTTCAAGGCAGAGTGTAAAAGATCATTGAACTACTGATCATCTACTGAAACAATAATTGAAATTTAGATACGGAATTTAATGCTGGAGTATGCGGCCTATAACAGGGGCACCCAGCAACCTGTTTCTGTAAAATAACTGTTCGAAGGAGCACACATTGCCTAGAAATTTCTAAAGCTTGAGAAAAGCTAAAATTTTCTGGATAACCGTTCCATTTGTCTTAAATGTTGGGAGGTTTTCTAATAGCTCAAGTACGATTTTCGGAGGTTGTGTTATTCACATTTTAATACCAAGGTATTGCGATTATGGTCAAAAGAGGTCTCCTAAAAATTTCGGTATAAAGACAAAACGTCCCCTGTGATTTTCTAATGAAAGCAAGGCTATTTCATGTCCTCAAACTTTCTACCAGATCCATAAGGGTAGCTAACACTTTCGGATGAGACGAAAAAGCTACCTAAAACTTTCGTGTCAACCAAAGTTCTCCAAAGACATCCGAACAGATAAACAGTTTTTAGGGTAACTCCAAATTAACTAAACAGGCTTCTAAAGCCAGGAGAAAACCATTTGAAACACTTCTGGCGTATTTGGAAACATTTGGCCGTTGGGTGCCCCTCCTATAAATTGTGGTTTTAAAAGTTTGAAAAGCAAGGCGAGTATTGTTAATGCTGTAAAGCTTTATTCCATCCTCGGAGACCCACGGGCGGTCAGTCGGGCCGGGAGAAAAGGCGCGACGAAAGTTATGAAGTTTTTCTCCCGGCCCGACCAACCGTCCCTGGGTCTCCGAGGATGGCTTTATTCTCTCGCTTACAAAGTTCAACAGACCTTTTTCGTACCGGCAAAACAAAAACATGAATTAGGTGAACAACATGAAACAGGGTGTTACGAAAACTAAGACCCTCGAAAACTAAGACCTAAGACCTAAGACCCGTCTTAGTTTTCGAGATTACGAAAACTAAGACCCCCTAAAATCAAATCCGTCGAAATATGAAGTCAAATTGTAATCGAAATAGGTCTAATCTGTCAGATTTTCTTCTGTCCGATTCTTTCCACCGAGTTTTAGGTCGAATTTAACGGTAAATTTAGGGGTCTTAGTTTTCGTTATTACGAAAACTAAGACCCCCTAAAAAAAACAATCCGTAAAATATATAATATGAAGTCGAATTACGACCGTTCAAAGACTATGGACAATATGCATTGTGTAGGGTAAAAAAAAATGCATACCTCCTCCTCCCGACAGAGGGCACTTTTGCTTTAGACCCCTCCACCCCCTGGAATTTGCCTTCCAGGGGTTTCTTGTCACAACGCCACACCCCCAGGAATTTCTGTAATTTTCCAACTTGGTTAGGCACCCCTTGGAAATATTATTTCCGCTGTTGCACCATACTGTTTTCCGGTTTTCCGACAGCACAACAAATATCACAAAATTCTGATGCTCTTTAGTTGGAGAGACCTGTTTCCTTTAAAATTTTAGTTGTATTTCAATTGCTGTAAGAATTAATTTGTTCTGGTACTAATAAAACTGTATGCAATACAATCAGCTGGACACGCCACAGGCCGCCCAAGTTCATTACATGAACGCGGACGTGACTCTTGCTTGCGAGCGGTGTTGTGTTACAAACAGTTATTTACAAAGGCTTGTATGGGATGTAAACGGTTTTTCTTAAAAGAGAGAAGAAATGTTATGTTTTTAAATAAAATCGACGTATTTTATTGCCTTGTTGTAATCTTTGTTCTTTACCCGCGTCTCAGGCCGTTTTGATGTGGCTGCATTTTAGCTAAATTCATTCTTCTCTATATAAAATTTGGATCTATAAATCACTATCCATGAGAATTTAACATTCTGCAAAGAACGCTAACGATCTGGGCGTGACAAAACATTGCAGGAAATCATCGCATTCACGGACAAAAGAAAATCTTTGAGTTAAAAAGCTTTATGTTTTACCAGAGCAAGCTGTATTTTGGCTTGAGGTGGAAGACGTGTGTTGCCTAGCGAAAGAGCCGGGGGAAGAGGTCGATAGGACGCCATCTCCCACCCCAACAGAGGCTTCTGTTGTCTCGACCAATGATCACTGAAGCGTAAACAAAAATTCAAAAGTTGAGTTGAAAATATACGACGTTGAGTTTGAAATTTGACGCGGTGACTGGCGAAATGCGGCGAGTGAGTATCGAATGCAAAATTGGCATCTCAGTCAAATGTAGAGTACTGGTTCAGGCATCAAAACTAATAAAAAGTAGCAATGTATAAAAATTTGTTTGTCGAGTTGAAAATGTACAGCGACAAAGGTCAAATAAAATAGTTGAGTTCAAAAGCTAAAAGACAAATAGTGTAAAAACGTTTTCCGATGAAGTGAATTCTAAAGGAGGAGTATAAAATATTGAATTCAGCTGTAAAATGAAGTTGAAAATTTAAATGAGCAATTTAAAATAAAAACCATGAATTTTGGCGGGGATCGTACGCCATAGTTTTATTCCATCTTTATTTTCTTGTAGGTTCTGGCTCTGGGTATAGATACGACTCAAACGCCTTTTTATTCTCACTTGTAAACAAGCCAGGATGGGCACCCGTCAAGCTGCCTCAGACAGGGAAATATAGCTCCAGCAGGCAACATTCCATATACGATAACCTATTATCTGGGCCTGAATTCGGAGGAGGACGTGACATTTACATAAATAACCACCAGCCCTACAATGATCGCAGGTCATATAGCAACCTTGGCTATACTTACAGCCCACCGAGCGGGCACAACTTCGAAAGCACCTTCGCCCAAACATTTCTGGCAGGATCATACAAGTTTTCATCAAACGAAATGGAAACGTTTTACGAAACAACTTAAATAATTATAATGAGCTACAACCGGTTTTTATGTTTAAGTAATGAGCTTGATGTTTTCTTTTGCATTTATGAGAACTAGAAATAACTAAACGATCTCTAAAATAGATTGCCCCAGTAGGCTTATCAGTAAAAAAAAACTCTTAGTAGCTGTATGAAAAGAGGCTACGAAATGTTAGAGAACACAATACATGGTTACATTATATGGAACTATTCGGTTGTTTGTTATGTGTTAGGCTTGAATACAAGCCGCTGGTTGGGAAATGAGCCCGCGCTCCTCCCCCCGAACAGGGGAGGACCGGGAGAGGGGCGGAAATCGAGCTTCGGTAATATGTATGCATTAGACGGCGGAACAACCCCATTAATTATTGCGTAGGTCAGGAACACGCGAGGCCTTTCAAAGGAAAGTTCTGAGAGTTATGAGTCACTCGCGTGACAGGAGAGTGAGGCTTGAGAGAAAATCTCGCCCAAGCCTTTTTGCTTAATCAGCTATATATGTAGCCCTTTTTCTCCACTTCGTTGATCAAAACATTTTTCATAGACTTCTTTGGATTCTGATTAACGCTCAGTTTATGGGTTTTGTGTGGCACTTAATAAATTTCTACTCAAAAGTTAATTATCTATTTCATCTTTATCCCATCGTTTCCCCTAGCCAACAAGAATTGGACTTAACATGAGCTCAAGCAATTTTAGGTTCAGGAATTCTTTAATTAAGTCACCCGTCGTTAGTGTTTCCCTTGATGCGCTGGAATGAGTTTTTATCACGTCAGATTTACTTCAAACATCAAAAACAAAATGATTAGAACGGTCACTGGATCAATGAATTAATGGCAGTCTGACTAAAAACCATTATTTGGTCTGTTTAATTGTGCGATTCTAACATGAATGTAGTATTTGAACTTTTGTGTCTTGTAATTTTTTTAGACCAAAGTGCACTCCACTCATTTTAGGGAAGACTGTGTTGTCACGTGACGTGTTGTTTCAACCTCTAACGGGAAACAATAGCCCTGTCCTTTGAAGTTTGCCGGTTTTCCCAGCCAGTGCCCTCTACTAACTATGCACAGAAACAGTACTTCGTTTTGTGACACTTAGGACTGCCGGTCATTTAGTGTTTTGAAAACCTTGACCGGCAGTCGAGCTGAAAAAACTTTTAAGTGTCACATTAAGGTTTCGTCTTCTGAGCCCAGCGTAAACCAAACGCTAGACTTGAGATCTATAAAGCTTTTTGGGATCGCTTGACTTTTCTTAATTTATTTATTTATTTTATTTTATTTTATTTGCCTCACAATAATTACAAAAAATATAGGAAAAGAAGAAAAAAAGAGGTGGCAAGGAGACCTAACAGAAACCATAGGAGCTTATGAGAGGTTAGGCCTCCTCGAACTATGAGCTAGAGTTGTTTCACATCAATTGAAGAAAAGAAGGCGAAAAGTCGAAGATGGAAAGACTTATGAACTGTTTTCATACTTACTCAATAATTTAATCTTCAGTTTTTTCTTAAAAGAGGAGAAGGATTGAGAGTTGATGATCTTATTGTCAAGTGAATTAAAAAGCTTAGGCCCTTGAAAAAAGGGCGAGAACTTCTTCGTGTTTCTACGACAATACGGGAGACGGTAGGCCTGGGAATTTCTTGTATTGTAAGAGTGGAATTGATTGCTTTGAGAGAAATTGTTATTAAACTTTGGAGGTAAGAATGAATTTTTGCAAGAATACATAAATTGGCCCAGTTGAAGCAAATGGATATCATTAAATTTTAGTATACCGAGGTCCTTTAAGATGGGTTCAGTATGAGCATTGAAATGTGATTTATTAATAATTCTAATAATGCGCTTTTGCAGGATAACAAGGCGGCGGAGATTGGTTTTATAGGTCGAAGCCCAAACGATATTGCAGTAGTAAAAATAAGGTTAAATTAAGGAATAGTAGAGCATACGTAAAGACGATTTAGGAAGAAAGAAGCTGCATCTAGATATTGGACATGATATGATAGTTTAGATTGGCTGGAATTTTTCGATTTTGTGAAATTTACTGAAAATAGAGGACTGCCGGTCATTCAGTGTTTTCAACACCTTGACCGGTTACCGGCCATGTAGCCACAGCCGTCAAAAGAAGCCTACCTACATCAGCGCTTCAGCGGCATTGCCACTGACTGGCATTGCCACTGACTTCCACATGCCAATTTTATAGCTTGGTTTTTAGTTCGGCAAAATTGTTCGCCGGGTGAAAGTGTACATCCTCCCTATCCTAGAGTAGCTGAATTACACAAACTACTGCGGTTACTAGCACAGTCCAGCCAAAACAAAACCGATTTGATCTTTTTATATATTTTTGAGTGGCAATTCCCGGTTTCCCTAGTCTAGACTAAAATTTTCAACCAACTGATCAGTTTCCTGGAAAATGATACCCTATTCTAGACCCAAACTCTCTGATTTATATACCCTATCCCTGAGTATACTGCTTGAATACCATACCCTTCATAGCGGCACATGTACACCTATATAGCCCATATATGGCAGTACTTTTGAGCTTCAAATCGAAAACTTGAAGCAAGTTTGATGTATTTTAATGTGATATGACAAACTGAAAGCGCTCCATCCTTCTGCATCAGACATAAAGAGTGATTTTAGGCAACTGATATTTGTCTCTTCGAGGGCGGTGATGAAAGCTATTAATCTGGCCTGAGGTTTAAATAAAGGGTAGCTGGCAACTTTCCACTGACCATACAGGAAGTTACTTTACAAGTAAGGTTGAACTGAAAACGAAGACCGATTGCGAAACATCTAGTATGTGATTTTTTTGCGTTGGTGATCGAAGAAAGAACGGACTTGTCACAAGAGGACGACTAGTCGTGATCATCCCAAATATGAGATCCGCGAATAGTATTACCTGATGTGTGTGTGTGTGTGTGTGTGTGTGTGTTAGGTAAGGGTGAAATGAAAAAGAGAACAGATTTCGAAAAATCTTGTTTTTGATTTTTTTGTGTTGGTGATAGATAAAAAAACAAACTTGTGACAAAAATATGACTAGACGTTTTCATCCCAAATATGAGATACGCGAATAGTATTATTAGATATGTGTGTGTTTTTTTTTGTTTGTGTTTATTTATGTGTGTGTGTGTGTGTGTGTGTGTTTTGTTTGTTTTTTCTTGTATTGTCAGTTTACTTATTGGTTTTAGTTTTAGTTTTCATTTTTCTCCTTGTTAGTTAGAGATAAAAAACAGCATTTTTGAGGTAGAAATCCGATAAAAGACTGGCGCCTCCTCCTTCCTAGATTATCCTAGATTCTCATGTTTTCAGGCTCAGAAGTTGGTTGGAATCGTGTAGTTATACTGACACAGCTGTGCACCTTTCATAATCACTGAGGAGTTAACAATCATTACCAACCAAGTAATAAACCGAGGCGCCTGAATAAGCAAGAAGAGAACACAAAAGTCTCTAATTACTTCCATTTGCAAGTTAAAGATAGCCTACTCATTTAATTGAAAGGAGGTGACCAAGTGAATATATTTAAGATACTTTAAAGGAACAAAGAATATAATCTCAAAATCACTGCTCTATCAGTCAGACTCGGGGTAGTTTACTTAAATTTAGTGCTCAATACAGCGAACGGGGTTAGATTCTGTGAAATTTATTTACAGTCTGCGGCCCACAATGACATAGCCACAAGCCACGATTTACTTACAATTTATTTTATTTCAATTTTTTTTTAACCAATCCTGTATCCCTGATCCACGATCCCCGAACCTCGATTCTTATTTTCCAGTAAACCTCGAAGTTTTGCTCATTAAGATTGTTCTTTTTTTCGACCACTGAATTAATCACTTGTTCTAAAGTAATCAACGCTTTCAAGCGATAGAATACGTGGGCCGACCTGTTCCGGAAAAGCTCGATATGGGATTTGTATTTTATGGACAAGAAGTGCTGCAAGAAGAGTGCGTGATAGTCAAGTACAAAGCTACCCGTATAAAAACACATCCGTGGCACATACGAACCGTCAGACGGGCAGTTGAAGCTACTTCCAGTAATGGTCGAAGGTTAAATCATTGATAACTCAAGTGTTTATTAAGTAAAACGCGACGTCAAATCTTAACAACTACGAAAATCTATCAGTTAAATACATACAACAAAGTGAATCTATTTAACCGTAAATTTCCAGTAATTGCGAGAATATTCTGGGAAACGTAACGCCTCAATACACCACAAAACTTGATTTCCCCGCTATAATATTTCCTCATCGAGATATTTACTTTTTAATACGCGTGCATTATTACACGAAAATCAAGGGCTTCGAATCGAGGAAAATTACATCATTGCCAAAAGCGTGTTCAACTTACAAGCGTCATTTCAGTCATCGCCGAAAATAAACCGCATGCTCATCACGAGACTCATTTGCATACAATGAAGGTCGTCACGATTCTTATCCCCAGTTTCCACGGTGTCCGCTAGGAACGCGTGGCCTACAAACTAGGGAAGACCACCACCACCAACAACAAAAAAAACGCTTGCATTTTTTGAGCTAAAGCAAGCTCGACTAATAACTTAGACACTTTTATAATCAAGTCGTCATAGTTAAAGATTGTTTCATTAAGTAGAATCGCACTTGACAACCTGGTGAATAATGATGATGCAACCATCTACAACAGTGATGAAAATCGTGGCATTTCTTAGCTATTCGGTATTCGACGAGCTTCAATGTCTTAAGAAACCATGAAGAAGCCTCGAAACCTTCGCGTCTTCCCTCTAAGCAACGTTTGGTGAGTTGATATTCATAGCTTGACTTTAACAATTTGTTTATTTTGCAACAGATATCGGAAGAAAAGACAGGGGCACCCAACAACCAAATGTTTCTAAATACGTCAGAAGTGTCTCAAATGATTTTCTCTCTGCTTTAGAAGCCTGTATTTGTAGTTGCCCTAAATACTATTTATCTGTTTGGAAGTCTTAGGGGAACTTTGGTTGTCACGAAAGTCTTAGGTGGCTTTTTCGTCTCATCCGAAACAAGAGA